ATAGTACCTCTACACTCTTTAACTCTCTTTAACAGAGATAAACTCAGAAGGTAGCGCTCTATTTGCTACACTTTTCGTCTCTAAGACTTCTCCGCTGATCCAAACAGCTTGGGCTGTTTCATTTTGGAGAAAATTCTTTGCTGTTTTGGCAGCCCTGGTTTGGTAGGATGAATGTTGGGCCATTCTGTTTTTGTTGGAGGACTTGTTCTTGTAGCCCTGCAACAAGCACCTGCTCATGGTGAGCTTAGCACAAGTGAAAGCATCAGCTCACGTGGGAGTCTCAAGTCATTTATGACTGCACGGAGGGTTTTTTTTTTTAAGTGCTTTTTGCTGCTTTCTGAAAGATCAAAGCAGAGTGAAGTTCTAACATGAGGCTTAACAATCCCAAGCCAGTGTTCTCAGAACAGCAGTAGCAAGCTGCCTGTGTCTGCAAGGCCGCTCAGGAACAAGGACGGAGTGTGATTCTCTCTCTCTCACCATAAACACTCCTTGAGTGGATGGCAGACAGCGTGGGGCCACTCTGAGGGGGACCTTCTTAGGAAAGAAGTTTTGTCACCTCAGTAGCTCTCTGTGGGTTCGCAGTACAGAGCTAGACCCCAACAGGCTCCAAGGCTCCTGCCAGGCATCGCAGGTACCGCTGCAACCCGGCGGCTTTGCTGGGCTGCAGAAGTGTCCATGCACCCGAGAGGAGAATCTGCCCCTTCCTGCCGCTGGCAGCTGCCCTGCAGCACCCTGGTATTTCCCTCCAAGACGCTGGTCCCACCTCAGATGCAGCGGGAACACACACACAGGAGTGACCCACAACGGGGCCGCGGCGGGACCGCTCCTACCCTCCCTGGGAACAAACCTGTTCCGCATCTCTCTGGCCTGCTTGCTGCGTGCTCCCGACCTGGACGCGCTCGCCGGTGACGGCGCGCGGGCGGCCGAGTAGGGCCCTCCAGGCTGCCTGATTTTCAGCATGTCGTCTCCCTCTTTTATGATCTTGTCTCCTGGGTGCAGCAGGGCTGTTGGCGAAGCACACGAGGAAAAGGGACGGGCTGCAGACGTGCCCCACGGGCAGCCCGTGCTCCTGGACTCAGAAAGAGAGGCAAGTCTGTCAGATTTAGTGCATTCACATCAAGCTGCTGGTCTTTGCTTTACCTTTCTGCAGCACGGGCTTGCTGAGATGAATTTTGTGTTCTTTGCACAGGCCGGAGCTCTTCAGGTAGGTCATGAAGGAGTCGCCGCGGTAGCGGTCAGTGAGCTCCGCCATGTCACCCGCCAGAGTGGAGGGCAGGCAGTGCTCATCAACACGTCTGTCCCCGGATCGCACCAGCCGGCACTTTTCTCTCCACTGTATCGGGGTGTCCTTGCTCTGCAAGCAGAGGACAGGTCGCTGCCGACACGTGTGTCTGTGCCACAGCGGAGCAGCGGGACGGCTCCAAGGGGCGTTTGCAAACGCCAGCAGGACCTGCGGCGGCGGCAGGCACCTCGTGTGGGTGCAGCTCCCTCCCGAAGCCGCCTCCTCGCACACACGCTCGCAGGAGCAGCGCGCTGCGCAGAGCCGCCTCGGGTGATAAAATCCGCTGGTTTCTGACTCTATCCAGGAGCCTCCGGCCCCGCCAAGCCGGCTGTCAGTGTGGGGCAGATGGGGTCCTGGCACCCCGCTATGGGGAGGTCGCCTGGATTCTGCCAGAGCTCATCCAACTGTATTTGCTCCAAGGAAAGTATGCTGGGTGAATGAGTTGTTTTATATTTCCATTTGACCATCTTTCACCGAAAGAGGACAAGTGCACATCAGCATTTTGAGGGACAAACCATCTCTGGTGGACAGGTAGACTAGACAATCAAAGAGAGACCTTCCATCATCGGACATAACAATTGCATCATCTACCAAACACCTTCTCTTTCCTTGCCATTTACCATAAAAAGTATTTATCTCACCAAAGCGTACAGAAGCCAAACCACCTGTCTCGGGGGTCTGTAGTACCTCAGCTGCCAGGCACTGCACTGTCAGGGGCTGTTAAGAAGTCCATATTCACAACACCCCCCTGCCCTTGTCTGTACAGCTGCACTGACCTCCAAGGCAGCCCACGCCGCCAGCCCCCCGGGGCGCCCGTTCTCCTGTCACACCCATGGTACCTTCTCCCTCCGCTTTCCGATCTCCTCCATCTCATCGTAGGTCACGTATCTGCGTTCCGGCTCAGTGTTCATCGGGGGAACTTCCAGCAGCCTTAACCGTGTTTCAGGCTTGGGACGGACGAGAGGTTTCTCTTGTTTGGCTCTGCCCCCTGTAGAAGCTCTGTAAGTGGTGGTTCTGAAAGTGGCTTTCTGGGACTGAGCTTGTACACCTGTGATATGTTACAAAAGCAAATTAAAAAACAGAGAAACTGTGTTACAAACTAGCAGAGAGAAACATCTGCACCAACAGACAGGCAGGACAAAGGGGGTTTGCCTTTCGTGCAAGCTGGATCCCCCAGCAGACTCGCATCCTTGTATGAAAACATCCTTTGTCCTTTGATCCTTTCCTGACATGAATATTACACCCCCATAGGTTACAGTTTCCTGGAGTGTTTTGTTTGCTTACAGCATATTTTAAATCTGCAAAACAGTGAATACAACACAAGGGCAGTAAAACGCCTCATCTCACAGAAGGGAAAACTGCAGCTTAGGCTGGTGCAGGTAGTGACAAGGCTTCAGGTCTGGGCCGGGCTCGAGAAAACAGCTCTGCTGAATCCGTGTTTTCCAGCTGCTGCTGACAGCTGGAGAAAGGTCTGGTTTTGATCAACTGGATGATCTTTGCTAACTAACAAAATCCTGCACAGGATGTTAAACCTCAGGTTTCTGATTTTAAGCCAAACCTGAGAGATTCGGTCATTTCTCTCTCCTGCACTTGGGCTGACGACAGCACTGCACATTCACTGGATTCCTTGGCTCCCCCCAGGGCAGTCTCATTCCAGGCACGCTGCTGTGGGGTGTGATCCAGAGGGGCCGCATCCTGCACACGTTTGGCAGGGACACAGGGGGACTCCCCTCACAGTGATCTCCGCTCACCTGCTGTGGTCTCTCTGCACTGCCCTTGCATCATTTCCAGCCACCGATCTTGGCATTCCACCAGATCCTCACTTCTTATAAAATTGCCATGTTTTGAAGACGTCAGGAAGATGATGACATCCTCCAAATCCTTGTCACTTACAGGAACTTTGGTCTGGTAACCAAAACCAAGAGGACCATGTGATCACTGGAAACGCGAGGCTGCCAGGGAGCCCGGCGGGACGAGCGTGGCTGCTCCAG